ACAGTGAGAAATATGATCTTATTTTGTTCATCTCCATGTTATTTAGAGGAATATCGTCAAAAACTACTATCTTATGTTCATCTGCATCAAGTTGATTAACTGGAATAAGATCTTCTGGCTGCCTAATTATAAAAAAATCTTCACCAGCTTTAAGATCATCACGAAGCTTGTTATTATATTCGCTTAATAACTCATACTTATCTTGCTGTGGATTGATTGTGTAAATATAAACTCTGTCGTAGTTAAAATTATCACCAAGAAGCAAATTCATAAGCAAATTTGTTTTCCCCTATCCAGTTCGCCCAACAATAAGATAATGACAATCAGGAAGTTCATTGTTATGTTTGTGCTTTACTAGTCTCTCTGTATCAAAGTTTAGTATCGACGATTTTGCCATTTTATATAATATTAAGCTGGTGTTGATAATTTTATCTAGGACAGTAAATAATGAGCTACTATACAAAATTTGGAACACTATCAGATTTATCCACAAAAGGTTACCAAGGTGACTTATCCAAATATGCAACTCTTGATCAGCTCAAAAATGAAATCAATAATTTACTAAATCTTACCAGCGTAGATCCAGATGAAGTCGTCATTTTCCAGGACAAAGAAGGACGATTAAAGACGAGTAACGTAAAACTGTCAGATGTAGTTGCACGAAATCCAAGTGGGAATATTGTTATGACACAAAACAAGATTACAGATCTTGGAAACCTAACTGAGGATGGGGATGCTGTCACTAAAAAATACGTCAATATTGGGACGCTTCAATTAATAATGAAATCACAGCGCTCAAAACTGATTTTACCAGTCACGTGAATACATTTTTAAGTTTTCGCAGAAACTTAAACAAAATTAGAGATGAATTTTTTGGAAATCCATCAAATGTTAACATTACACTCGCTAATATTAACACAAAACTCAATGATATTAACACAAAACTCAATGATATTATTAGTGGAATTCCTAATATTGTTGAGAAAATGAATATGATTAAAATTCCTCACAAACAGATTAAAAATATTGTGTATACTGTTGCAACTGGGTCTGGTACATGGACGAAGGAAAATAATTCTTTAAAATACACTGTAGAAGTTACTGGTGTGTATAGATTGTCAGTGTTTAGCAGTGAAAAGTTTAAAATATTGCTTACCACAATTCCATGGCATTATTCAGATAATAACTTATTTGGAATATTATATGTAATATTATACAAAAATTCTGAGGAGAAATTTATACTTGAACCAACTGATAAAAATTTTGTAGGTCCTTATCGGTGGTGTTTGGAATTCGTAGCTGATTTATCATAACTATGTGAACAAATATTATAATGAAAAGAAGTATAGTTGATTTTAATCACATTTCAAAAGATATTCCAGAAGAGGATGTGGACGCACTAATACAATACTATAAATATTATCATAAAAAACTTTGGTGTGTTAAAAAATGTTACAAATACTACAACAAGATCCTTCGAGTAGTATCATATCTACCCTTGTTAATGACCAGTTCTGGTATAATTTCAAGTGGGATATCATTAAATCCATTTTTGTTAATTATATCTAGTATTGGTGTTTCACTTACAGCGGCGTGTAAAAAAGTAGAACCAAGACTTTTGATAAAAAAGCACGGATGTTTAACATCAATTAAAACTTACAAGAAACTACTTGATCAGATCCGGTCTTACCTACGAGGAGTTAAATATAATATGGATGATTTATTACGTGAATTTCGTATTATTGACAATATGTTAACAGATATTCTACCAATGAGGGTTAGCAAGTATGGAAAAAATTATCAAAGAAAATATGAGTAACGTATAATTTTATCTAAACTTAAGATATAATATAACTAAAATAATATCATTTTCATTCTAATGCTAGTTTAATTTCCACCTTGTTAACTGAAAGGTTCTAATGCACAGTTTAATTTTCATCCAGTTATCTGATAAAAAATTTGTGGTAAAACCTATTTGCTGTCTTTAGAATAATCATATTCCACACATACGCTGTTCTAACAAATTCGTCACTTCTGTTGACAGAGCTGATCGCATTCCAACACCTGTTGTTTTGTCTGGTTACAAAATATCTGTCTACATAGTAGTAGTATTAGGAAAATGAGGGTTTTGGTGGGGGTGGGGGAGGAGATGTGGGAGGGGGGTGGTGGGCCAAAATTCTCATTTTCCTATACTACTCTAGTTCGTACACCACAACTAATTTGTAAGTTGTGAAATTGACGTTTGAAAAGTACAATCTAATTAACTGACGAATTCATTTTCCCTTTATTGTTCCACAGCAATCCTCCTGATTGGAGAGCCCATACTCTGGGAAACTCATATTCAGCTGCTGATTGACCTTCTCCTGACCGAGGGAAAAACCAAGCAAACCCCCCCTCCCGTGTCCTTGTCAGAAGTCAGGAAGCTCCCGGTCATCGCGTGCAACATGGACCTCGTCTTCATGCACCAATCCTGCATGCCGCGTTTTGGGTACGGCACCTTCCTTGATTGTCTTGAGACACTCTACTAGGTAGGTTCATACAGGAACATCTATAAAGCAAACTAGTTACATAAATAAATCCTTAACTTATTTATTACATATTGGATGTTCATGCTGAATTGACCGAATTGATATTGAACTGAACTGAAATTTACTTAATTGATCAAAGTTACACGCAATATGATGTAAGTTGAAGTGAGTTACACTTCCTTGATATTCTACTGGGACGACAATATCATTTTTTAGGCAGGGGGCAGCATTTTCGGGAAAAAATCCCGGATCTAAAATAGCCCCCCCCCCCATCCCGTAAAATGCTTGTGTATCCAATATGTTAGTTAAAACGAATACGTCTTGAGGTACAAGAACAATAAACTATCTCGACTCGAAGAAAAATCCAAGTCCCACCACTACCATCACGCTTTTCGTTCCTTAATTACTTCACATTGTTGACTTTCTTTATTCCAGAAAATTATAGGAAATGAATTGGAATACACAGCTCTCATAGGAAAGCCTTGTGAAACACTGAGGTGAATCTGGAGGAATTTAGGATGAGGGTTACCTTTGTTATGGCGTTCTGATACGTGATATAAAACGTTGATTGGCCTGAAAAAATCGATTATCGGGACATATTTACATTATATGAGCAATGGGAGTTACATTATATGGTCTGGCGATCATGGAAATACTAAGTTTTCAAATTGTCTTATTCTGGGGACTAAAATGTCTTGCCGTTGCTAGTTTAGATTTTGTGAGTGGCCAGTGACTTTGTTTCTTTACGTGCATTATGTTCACATATTAGGCTAATCGCATTTCATTTCCGTCCCGAATTTTAAACGTATTTGGTATCATTCATCATAATGTAAATATTCTGAAATCTGAAAGTGAATCAAATCGTTCGGCGCATATTGATGCTCTTGAGGCATACTGTTCAGTCTCCCAAACGGGAAGATTCGTCATCTGATTGGCTGATAAAATTAAGCGATTATCATAATAACTTAGGTCACCAACATAACCCCTAAGCTGTCAGTCAGATTTTCACGAAGGTTAACGGAGATCTGCTTTTAATCAGATTGAATACCGCCTATATTTTCCTCGTATTAAGACATTTTTTTTTTACATAATACTGCTTGTTAGACAGTACATTCTTTAACTAGAGTGGATTTAGCATATCAGGAATGTTTTAAAGAATGCAATTGGTTCAAAGACAAGTGAAGCTGCTTAAAGTACTGTAATATGTTATATTTCATTTTGAGTTTTTCACAATTTGGACCAGTTATTGTGGTGTTTGTTCGTAAATCTATTTTTTTCTGGAACAGATTTTGCAAAGAGAATTTTCTTTCATAAGTTCTTAATTACGGTAGTTTTGTCGTTCGGAGAACTCGTCTTTCTTCCTTGATGCTGTCGTGTTATGCATATTGAAAGTGTTTTATATTCATACGATATTTATCTGGGTTTAAACCCTGTCATGACTGAGGACGTTTTGTAATATTGTAATATGACATTTCATACATATTATCTTAAATAAAATATTTTTGCTACGTTTTAATGTTTATACTGAACAAATTGTAATAATGTGCAATAAATATTTCTTATTTCCATGTTTGTTTTAATTTCCTCCTGTCTGTCAGCTTCTTTTGTCTATCCGTGAACAATATTCTCTTCAACGCGCACCAACATTACAAAATCCTTCATTAAGTGTGAAATAATAATAGCATTACATGCAGACACTCACGCACACAAATATCATATGTATAGGGGTAGAGTCAATAACTGTGTATTTAATAGATGCTTATATGTAGAGGTAGCATTCGCATTGCAACATCGACACGCGTCCTGAAGGTTATAAAATATTTGAAGAGTTTATACTCGGACTTAAGACTGTCAGAATAAACAGTCTTCGTAAAGTTATGCATGATTACACTGCTTCATAAAGGTTATGCAATTACACACATCTTAAAGGTCGTGCAAGATTACACTGCTTCCTAGAGGTTATGCAAGGTTATACTGCTTCTTAAAGGTTATGCAAGATTATAGTCCTTCGTAAAGGTTATGCAAGATTGCACTCCATCATAAAGGTTAAGTAAAATTACACTGCTTCGTAAAGGTTATGCAAGATTATGCGCCCTCAAAAAAGGTCATGCAAGATTATGGGCCTTCGTAAAGGTTTTGCAATATTGCACTCCATCATAAAGGTTATGCAAAATTACACTGCTTCAAAAAGGATATGCAAGATTAAGCGCTCTCATAAAGGTCATGCAAGATTATGGGCCTTCATAAAGGTTATGCAAGATTACAGTTTCATAAAGGTTATGCAAGAAGGTTATGCGAGATTACACACCTTAATACCGAAGAGTTTATGTGTGTGTGTGTGTGTGTGATTTAGATTTTTAACGTAGATTTTAAAAAAATTCAGTTATATCGCTACGACACCAGGCCGACAAGTTCTAAAACGAACCTATTAATGCTAAGCAAAAAACCGAGGCATCTGTTAGTACCATTTTATTAAAGACTCGGCCGGGGTTTGAACCCGCGACCTACCGCATAGGAGGCAGATGCTGTAACCACTAAGCCACCAGAGAGGTTATTAAAAACTTATTAAAAATTGTACTAATAGCTATCTGTTAGTCTTATGACTAGTCGGACTAGTGTCAGGATAATGTAACTGGGTGTCTGTCTGCAGCATGTTGCCCCAGTGCTAGATAACACTATAAACTGCCACAGTGCAGACATCGTAGCGATATGACTGAAGAATTGTGAAAGCTAGTGTAAAATTCCAAATCACAACACACACACACACACACACACACACACACACACACACACACACACACACACACACTTCTCTTGGCATGGGTTCGTGTACCAAAGCTAACACATGCTGAGATTATTGATCAGCCACTAATAGTCTTATTTTTTCTATGTTCTTTGTTCGTGGCGGGTGATTCAAAGTAGATTCTATTTGAGTGCGGAGAGAGTTAGCAGGAAGGTTTTTAATAGTCAAGTACATGAATGTATCAAATAATAATAATTTGAATGAAAAAAAAACAACGAAACTGTACCAGACGTATTTAAATGATGGGATAATATTAAAGACTTGGATTGAATGTGGATTCTCTGGACTGGGATGAAAGTTCGGTTTACAAACGTAAAGGTAAAACGAGTTATAAACAAAGTACTTTTTAAATCAGGACAAGGCTAACAATGAAAGCCAATTAATAGGATTAGAGACACACAAAAAACTTATGGATAACGGCATTAGTGTTTTACTGCTTCACAGGTCTTAACCAGTTCTTTTTATTCAAATAACGATTTTAACATCGTCTGTTGAAAATGAGATATTAAATAGATAAATTGGTGTTAAAAACGTACATTAGGTTGCAGAGAGAGAGAGAGAGAGAGAGAGAGAGAGAGAGAGAGAGAGAGAGAGAGAGAGAGAGAGAGAGAGAGAGAGAGAGAGAGAGAGAGAGAGAGAGAGATGATATAAATCCCCTTTTAACCGAGGCCATATCATTCACCGATTATCTTGGGTTAACGCTTATAAGATTAATACAATTTAGGTGATAAAAGGCTACCCTCGAAGTACAAGTCTATTACACATTTGAATTGATTTTCGGAAAGTTGTTTACCTCTTGTTTCAAATGCAAGACTTAACGAACAACTGTAGACAATGATATTTAAAATCAATATTGAAAAAGTAAATTTAAATGTCCTCCTTTATGCCGTATTACACCCAATACTATAGAGTAGATGTAACTGTTATTATTAGGATCATAGACACCAGCGATAACAAAAAAAGAACTATGTGCAAAGACAAAGATGTCGAAAACAAGTCTTACTCGATGGACTCGCTGTGAAACGAATTTTGAGAAAAAGAAGACCAATGAAGCGATCACGTTAATCGAAGTTAGTTAACAAATCCCTTTTTCATGGCCACTCCCATTTCTAGAAAAGAGATATACTAATCATATTTGCCAAATAACTTTGCGTTTTGTGCATGTGTTTATGTATGTATGCATTGGTTTGTGTAAGTGTATGTGGTTAGCAACTAAAACTTACAACCCCTTCGATTTTCTGTGTCGTAGCATGTTGTATGTAAGGGTGTAGTAGTATATCCACAAACATTTACTACCCTTTTATGTGATATCATGTTTGTGTGAAAGTAAGTGTATCAACACTTCTTACCCATTTCATTAGATTATATGGGTGTGTGTTTGTATAGTAATCAAAACGGGGTGTTGGACTGTAGGGTGTTTATTTGGATAGTATATGTGACGGGATGTAGCTAACAATTTTGACATTATCATTCACATTCTACCTCATAACAACTTTTTTTACACTATATTTTTGATCCAGCAAACACTTTTGACCCCATAATACCATCTCCATGTTAAACCTATGGACCATTTGAACATAGGATTTCCCATGCAACCTCATACAGCCCCTCTATACGATGTTATTGTTAATATCGTATAACCTCAAATTGGCCCATGCATATATTGTCGTAATATATACATCTGTGTAAATGAATATTAACACGAATGTTACTGGCTAAAGACCAAACTACTAGTGACTGAATCATTTGAAAAGCAACATTATAACTGCTCATCTTTAAAGATAATTCTCTGTAAACTAGACAAAACGGATTCAAAATAATATTTACAAGAACGATACACTCAGAGTCATGTGCGGGTTAAGATGCATGTTGCTCTACAATTAGCTATCACAAGAAGCATGAACATAGAGTCAACTATTCAATTTTTATAACTTTCTCAGAACAAAATCATGTACTTAGACCTGAAATGCCATTTGGATAAATAGTCATATATTTTTATGCATTTTTTAAAGTGTCTTTATTTTTTGATGTGGTCTTTTAAAAATGTTGCTAGCAATAACCTCGAATTCATACATTATAGCCTGATAGTATATTTGTTTAATACATGACTGGTGAAAATAGTCCCTGGAAGTGGCCTAAAATAATATATTATCAGCAAATGCAACTGTTTCACATTTTAAAAAGCCAGTCTAAAGACCATTTCTGAGAACTACTGTCTACGAGACGTTTAATTATATATGTATTAGATATCTGGGACATAATTTTACTATTTTATTCTCCTTGCTTCTCATAAAATGCTGATAGGTCGTCTCTGTCCCAGTTCAGCAATAGCCAACAACACAAGTATAAGTCATTCACGAATATCCAGTTCTGATTAAATCACCATCAAATAGTGCCAGCAAACTTTAAAAGCTTTACTGACATCTATAAATGCAACAAAAACGTGTTGTTAATTGTCCATAGTTCCAGCAATTTGCCTCTGTCAGAAAAAAAAAAGTTAGAGTGAATTGATTCTAGTAAATGCTTTTTTTGTAATTTATTCTGTGTGGCAGAAATCCTGAGTAAAATCCAGTATTCCTTTTCCTCAAAGCTGGGGATGATTTTTCGTCTGATTAATTTGAATCACTTAAAGACTATGATGGTTTCTATCGGATTTGGACATGGTATCTTACGGAGTTTTAAAGAAAAGGCCATTTAAAAGGTTTTCCAATCTTTAATATATATATATATATATATATATATATATATATATATATATATATATATATATATATATATATATATATATATATATATATTATGACATAAATCCATAATTTGAAATAAATTGGAAGGTCTTCATTCCAGGGTGTTTTCTGTCAAATTTGTTTATGTTAGGTAACGTTTATTTTGACCGTTATGTATTTTTATTTCTCTTTCACCTTTTGACGCTTTATTTGTTAAAGACATCTTATGCAATAAAGTGGATTAAAAGCATAAGTGTCAGTTAGACCTTTGGATGCATACTGCACACATTTATTCAAGATGCTAGACTCAAATAAGTTATGCAGCAAATAACTCAATATTCAGCAATTACCTAGAGTCACGGAAATACGTAACAGTGGTGGAATGCGAACTTTGACATCAGGTATGATATTCAGGTATTTTTTTTGTACGGTATACTTACTTGCAATCATTGATGTGCAGGGGAAAATATCGTCAACTTTATTTACCTGTGTGACTTGACTCCTACTTTGTTTATTAATGCTTACTGGCCGTGGAAAAAGGAGGAGGGTAATATTGAAAAGATTATTTTTATTGACTTTGAATTCTCGTAGATAATGTTAACTGAAGATAATAGGACTACAATAGATCATGGTAGACAACTTGCCTTATGACTGTTTCCAACACAGAAGAGTTGTATACCTTAGTGTTATAACCGCGTCGCACGTGGTATCTGGAGAAGATTATGTATGCCAGATGAACTCGAAAAAAATGTAGCATGTGGAGAGAAACTGGACTCATTAAAGAACCATACGCGACTAATAAAAATGGCGTGATATAGTAATTAAACGTCACCAATGATCACTCAAATGAAGTTTTATAACTGTAAAGTGTACTGAGGAAAGGCGAACTCTTTTATATGGCTGAGATTCACAAACAAAAACTTTAACTAAATGTCACCTATATAAATATCTCAAACCCATGAAAATTATCCTAGATGAGATATTAAAAGTGAAGAAATTGTTAATTTAGAATAATACAAGAAATGTATGCTCTACTTTAAAACTGAAATAAATAAATTATTGCTATATGTAGTTTAAAATTCTTTAACTAGTGAATTTGTTAATGTAATAAAAATAATCGCAAAACAAATACAAAGTAAATTATAGAATTGTGTGTGTGATTTGGAATTTTAACAGAGCTTTAAGAAAAATTCAGTCATATTGCTATGATGTCTGAAGTGAGACAGTTTATAGTCTATCACTGGGGCATTATGCTGCAGACATGTAGCATGATGCCCCACCCAGTCACATTATCCTGACACCAGGCTGACAAGTCCTAACACTAACCTATTAATGCTTTGTGCCTATCCAGGTAGCTGTTAGTACCAGTTTTATAAGTGTTCTGTATGACTTGGCTGGAGTTCTTGAAAATAGGGTAAAATGATTGGCTTCAAGCTTATGTCTAAGTTTGATTTTCACAGTATAATACCCCTTGCATGTAACAATATGTTCAAATCAGAAAAGCCATCAGGCTTGGAAATTTTCAGTCAAATTTGGTGGAGTTCTGCTATCTGATTTTTTAGAAGTCATTTAAATATTCTCTTTTTTTGTATCAGCAGTCATTCATCATGGTCTATCTGTTCTCTATTTTTGTATCAGCAGTCATTCATCATGGTCTATCTGCAAAATTTGTACAAAACTGAAACAGCTTTATGACCAGAACAAAATGAAAATAGCAAATCTTGACAAATGAATGATGCATTACTGACAATGCAAGGTAAGCAAAGGACCATGATATGAATTCAAGTTACCTTACAGCCAGATAAGATAGAGAAGAAAAACCTTTTTGGTTCAAGATTCCGTCATGGATTAAAGAAATTTCATTTCCCTCACAGCTAATATTATACAGAATCCAAGAATGTTTAAACATTTCTGATTCTTGTCCTCATGCCACTGAACATGGGTAGGGTATATTATTCTGTCCATTTGTGAATGTGTTTTCATCAGATTATGAATAATGTTGTCCAGATTTCACATAAAC